CGAGCTCTTAGTAGGGAGTTTGAGCTCTTAGTAGGGAGGTCGGGCTCCTCGTAGGGAGTTCGGGCTCCTCGACGGGAGTTCGGTCTCCTCGAGGGGAGTTTGGACTGCTGGTTTCTTCCCTTTGGTGTTTGCACCCTAGGTACGTTGCTTTAAGTGCCGAGCTACTTGTTTTTTGCCATGTGGCGTGATTGCGAGGTCGGGCCAAATCTTCCTTCATCAGGAACTAAGTAGGCTATCTGTTCTATACAACTTAAACCTACAGGACAACAGAATTTCGGGTCATTTGCCACATCAAATTGGAAGGCTATCCAATCTGGTGTACCTAGACCTCTCGGCAAACAAGCTTAATGGACCAATCCCTGGGCAGCTTGGTAATTGCTCCAAACTACAATACTTGAGCTTGAGCGAAAATTCTTTGAATGGGAGAATTCCTTCTCAGATTGGTCACTTGGTAGACTTACAAGGTCTACTTGATTTAAGTCAACTCACTCAGTGGAGAAATACCACCGGATCTTGGAAAGCTGACTATGTTACAGAGTTTGAATCTGTCTCACAATGAGATCACTGGGGCCATACCCTCTTCTCTGGGCGAGATGATTAGTTTGTCATCCATTGATTTCTCCTACAATGAGCTGGAGGGTCCTATTCCTAGCAGCAAGATTTTTCAAAATGCTTCACCAGATGCATTTAAAAACAACAGAGATTTGTGCGGCAAAATCCAAGGCTTGGCGGCCTGCAATCCATCTACCCCCAACAGGAATTCAAGTAATGACCACCAAACCATCACCTGCAGTATAATGTCTCTTTTGGGTATCTTGGTTCGTATACTAGTTATTGTTGGAGTTGTCTTCCTCCGGCGAAAGAAGCTGACAAGTTTGAAGACAGAGGTAAGTACAAGTGACAGAGATGTGTTTTCAGTTTGGAATGGACACGGTAAGATTGCATACGGAGACATTATTGAAGCAACAAATAATTTTGATTCCAAATATTGCATCGGGGCTGGAAGTTATGGAAGAGTTTACAGAGCAGAGCTGCCTACTGGGCATGTAGTAGCAGTGAAGAAACTTCAGCCATTGGAAGGAGGTGGACCATCTGAGATGAAAAGCTTCATGAATGAGATACAGGTATTAACAGAAATACGACATCGGAACATTGTGAAGCTTCATGGGTTTTGTTCCCATCGACAATGCAGATTTTTGGTGTACGAGTACATGGAGAAAGGAAGCCTATATAGCATTTTGAGAAATAAAGCAGAAGCCAAGGAACTGAATTGGGTTAAGAGAGTGGATATTGTAAGAAGTGTAGCCCAAGCTTTATTATACCTGCACCATGACTGCATCCCACCAGTAATTCGTCGAGACATATCAAGCAGCAACATTTTGTTGGATTCAGAGCTTGAGGCTCGTATATCTTGACTTTGGCATTGCTAGATTGCTAAAGCCCGATTCATCCAATTGGACTACATTTTGTGGCACATATGGATACATGGCACCAGGTATATCTTATTAACTGCAAACATTTTCTTTTTCTTTCTTTTGGAATTACATAACACACATTATAGGGGGGATCATGGAATAGGCATAGAACAGGGTACATGTGAGGTCCACTGACCCCACCATACAGAGATTGCACATAGGCGACGCGGGTTTGATCCTATGCCTCCTCTTTTAGAGGGATGCTGAATGACGGACCACCTGAACTACTGGGTTATCAGCCTTTAGTCATGTAAACACAAGTGCCATAGTTTCTGCAGCCCAGAAATAAGGAAGGATCACATATTTCTCTCCCCACCCTCCATTCATGGGGAAAGTATCAGGCTTTTTGCAACACCATAGTCTAGGCCTGATATACCTTCTTGGCATGAATTGATAATAACTTTAGGAAAAGCTCTGATGCAAGGTGGAAAATACAAATAATGTGAACTGAGTGGGGCATTGTACACACAACACCCCTAATCTGATGATTGGCTTGGATTTAACACGAGATGACATCCTTTCACTTGTCTCAAATGGGGCCAAGTGGTAGTAGAGAAAAAGTCTGATTGACCAATGAACTTTTTCTCATATTAGGGATTTCTTTTCTGATGCATAAGGGGAGAAACTAAGACCAGTGGGAGAGAGCCCTGCCAGCCAAATAAAGAAGAATTAAAGCCAGAGAATTCTTCATTTTTGTCTTGACCCCTTGTTCACGCTTAAATTTTCATTTCGTACTTTCATTGTCGCTCCATCTGAACTATAATGTTTAGGACTTGTAATGATCTTTTATGTTTTATTTTTAATCTTTTCTTTAATGAGTCTTTGAGCATTTGGAGGGACTAGGGAGGTAAACCTTCAAGGACAGCCATTTTAGAAAAGTAACGAACATCTAAAGCAATTACCGTGGTGAGAAAAGATTTTCCAAGTCGATTTCTATAAATCCACTGGTGCTTGTTGATGTATTTATTAAAATACCATTAGTTTCCACTTTCCAGATGGTGATTGGTGGCCATAGTTGATCTGCAATGAGGGCTTATTTCTCCAAAGGTTCCCAGCATTTATTAAAATAACCCTTACTTCACAACTCCTCCTTGCTAAAACAGTAAATAGAGCTTGGATTGGCTCCCCACACAGTGAGCTCCATATATAGCACGATCCACCCGTGCATTCTAGGGAGATGTTCCCAATGCACATCTGGATTGTGCTGTGAGGAGCCCCTAAGTGCTCCCCAAAGTTTATTCCCAATACTGTTTTTCATTCCCTTCTCACTTTTCTGTGCTTTCAGAGTTGGCTTATACCATGGCTGTCACCGAAAAATGCGACGTTTACAGCTTTGGGTTGGTTGCACTGGAAGCAATAATGGGACGACATCCAGGGGAATTCATTTCTTCTCTATCATCATCAGTAGGCCAAAACAGGCTTCTAAAGGATGTTTTAGACTCGCGTCTTGGTCCTCCAACTCCAACTGACCATCAGGTTGCACAGGATGTGCTTATGGTAGCGGCCCTAGCACTTGGCTGCTTGCAATGCAACCCCACATCCAGGCCAACCATGCAGCGTGTATCACAGGAGCTACTTGCCTATCATCGACCAATTTCTCATCCTTTTAATGAAATTACAGTGGCCCAACTTAAGGACATCATTACACGTTAATTGGATATGGATAAACGGAATTTAATCAAACTCAAGCACTGGAGACATGGCATAGATGTCAACATACTGTATTAGATTAGATGTTCCTGGTGCACTTAAACGTAAAAAGAAACCATTAGGAGATGTGGATTTTTCAATTTGGTTATAGAAAACAAAGAAGTAGCTGGCTTGAGAAAACTATCTTGTGTTTTAATGGGCTTCAGTCTACGATCCCATGGTGAATAAATGATGGTTTTATTTCAATTAATCTCTTGCTTTATTCTATTCTCCATCCAAATATATTGGTAGGGTAGTTAATTAATTCCAACCACTTCCCATTTAATCAAGAAAAGAGATGAACAAACTTTCAGACCAAGAATGAGAAACCTTCCTAATAATAGATTTCAACCAAAGGTTCAAGATATCTTGAAAACAGCCTCTCTGTATGTAAAGCTGTAAGCATCTCTGTCCCTCCACAGACCCTGCATTGCAGGAGCCTCGTGCACTGGGCTGCCTTTTTAAAGACATAACATCTCACCGGATTAAAAAAAAAAAAAAAGTCTCTCAGATGGTAATCTAATAATTTAGACCAATCTCAGGCTGTGCTGGGACTTAGAAAGAAACGACTAGTCATCGAGACAAAATCTGAGTTCCCTAAAAAATTGCTATGTCTTGGGGATGTTAATACCATTAATGGATAATTGGATAAGTGTTTTTCAGTGATTCCCACCACGCCTATTAGCTATTACGTAATGCTTGTATTGTATAAAACTTCACGAAGTGATAGATAATGAACTCAAAGAAAGTCTCCAAAAAAGGGAAATCATCAAAAGTACTATTATGCAATTTTATCATTCCCAATAGAAAACCACTTCATGTGTGTGTTCCTTTTCAGGTAATTTTCGTGAGAGATTTATAATCACATCACTTATATACAGATGAGGGCCATTACCTAATGTGCGCATTTTTTTGCACAAAGTGACCACCCTCAGACGAGTTCACATCGGGGTGCCCTACAACATCCCACAGCACATCCCCGCTATGTATTGGGAACATCTCCCGATGATGTACCAGAAATGATCCTTTCATCATCGGGAGATGTTCCCAATACACAGCGGAGATGTGCTGTGCAATGTTGTGGGGCGCAGATCTGAACTCCCCTCAGACTTGAACCCAAGTTCTCACACTTGTTAACCAAAGATTTTACCATTACACTAAGTAATAGCCCCTATTGTATAGAGATGCAGGGAAAATCTATAATATGGAAAAGACATGGTACTGGAATAGCTTTGATCAATCAAAGCACACCCGTGAATTGTGATGAACACCTGATTGCTCACCTTTTTTATGCTACCAGTTGATTGGATGTGAGTTCTTACAGTATCATAGTCGAACCCAGAGATGCAAATTTGTATTTAGCAAAGCATCACTTACACTTCTTTTCCTCTTTGATTCTTTCAAGAACAATAGGAGCTGCAGGAATGCTGAACCACCATTCTCTCAATCTCCTTTTCAATCTCTCACTGCTTACTTTCCTTTGAGGTGAATACCTCGTAAACATTTCTAGAAAGATTAGAGTAACTATGCACTTGGAAGGCAGTGAAGCCAGAATCAAGGCCGTTAGCAGCAGCCCGAATGCAACTCTCAAACTTTCCTGCTTGTAAGACAAAGCCATTTGTAAGTCACCATAGAAAACTCCATCAACTCAGGGAAATTCATTAACCAAAACTATGAAATTAGAAGAAAAGTGTCCAACCAGAAGCAGGATAACTTCAAATTTAAGCAAGCAAGCCTTCAATAGTTGGCAACATTGCCTACTGCAACCATGCACAGCACTCCTGCTAATAAGACTTGTTAACATAAAAGGCATTACACGCTTTAACTAAATCTTCATGAACCTTGACATATTATACAAGGGGCACCAATTTCCTACAACTCAAGGCTCTGCACCATCCGATCTAATCTATCGATACTACCTATCAGACAAAGCACAGGCACAAAACCAGAGAATCTAACTTCTCAAAGAGGCCATTTGGTACTGTTGTTGCATCTTGCATGAAGTCCCAACCTTTGTACTTGAGCCTCCACGTAAGCACCATGTAGGCATTTTGACTTCACCAAACGTACATCATGTTTGGTTGGGCAGATTCAAGTATAAATCTTTGTACCATCCTTCACATGGGCTAATGTATGAGTAAGTCACTTTTGGAGAAAACACCTTTTTGACATTTCCTCCTACATTCTGGTGCTTCCACTTCTAGTGTCCCATGTGGCACCTAGTGGCAGATGTGTTTGAAATTATGCCTTGAGGTATGTGCAAAACGTCCTAATTTCCTGAACTCCAATACTAAAATCAAGTACAAACATTATCACTTCAACCAAGCAGAACCCAATGCTACTCTTTAAACTAGTTGATAGAATAAGTTTGACAATGTCCAGAGAAGTTTCTAGTTGATTCCAGTCAATGATATTGAGCTAAGATTCAACCAATAGAGGAATGACCACTGACGGAGACAAATGAGAATACTTGTATCTATACAGTATAGGGAGCATTGAGAATGGTGGACCTCAAAAGTCTTATCCATTATACTTCTACCTTAATAAAGTCTGGATTCATTTAAGGCATTATAGGTTGTTCTTAGTAGCAATCATGATTTTTAGCATGACGAGTAATCACTGCTACCACCAAGAACATGACAACACTATTATGCATAGGCTATAATGCCAAAATAGGAAGGAGATTGCATAAGCTAGCAATTGCAAAGAAAATAGAGCAAGACCTGAGGGAAAAGAGAAAGGAGCAAAGCTCGCAACTTGAGGAGAACAACATTCCCTTCCTGGATGATTTCTTCAACTTGGGAAATTGCATGTTTAACTGCCAAAAGTTGTTCCATTGTGTTCATTGTTTGAGGTGCTGTTACTTTTACCTCATCAACAGGCTCCCCTTGGCGACAGCATTGTGTAAGCACCATAAATACTGCAATGAACAGAAGCAGCAATGCAAATGCATACCCCAGCCATCCCCTGAATAAATTCATTTCCACAATAGATCAAATTGCAAGTCAAAAATTGCACAATTCACTTTGCAAAATAGAAGCAATGGCCAATATAATATAAGTAAAATGTCATATTCAATGATTTGTGAGTTTCTTAAGAACCATAGAGCAATGGCCAAATATGAGTTTCTGATTTATGCAACCCATAACTAAATGGCTTTCTTCTAAAAGCCCAAAAAACAGTACTGTGGGATTCATTGTGTTCTAATTCATGAGAACATCCAGTACGTAGCTTATGACATTTGCGGGGTCAATGCACTCAAAATGTGCAATCTATAAAAATGTGAAGATGTAATTAAACAGGACTGTCCAAAAAGAAGAAAGGTAACCTTTTGGAATGTGAGAACAAATATGATAAGGCATCTTTATTTAATAAGTTTTTGGAGATAGATCCAATCAAGGGTACAAGCTTCACTGGTGAAGTATGCATCTGAGATTTCTATCTCAACACCGACGTCCTAATTATAGTTCTGGAAATGCTGTGCATAATCAAGGATTATTTGATTCTAGAATAAAAGTTGATTAAATTGTTAGCAGAGGTTGATGATGGATATGCTGGATTTCTCAGTTGGGTAGTGATGTAGGGTGATTTGGCCTGACCTCGTAGCACAGGGACACGTGGACATGACATGGCTTAAGTGACAATTCAGCATGACAGCCTGGCCACTACTCGGTGCAGCGAGCTCGCCGAGGCCCGACCAAACAACTCAGCGGGCGTGACAGCTCGTCAAGAAGCAAGGCCCAGCTCGCCCCAAGCCTGAGGGTGGAGCACCCCAAGCTCCCCCATGCAAAGGGACCCGAGCTCCTCCTAAGGGACTCCGAGCTCTCCCTTCCTAAGAAGGAAGCACCCCAACTTTTGGCTAAGTGTCCCGAGGGAGAAACACCTCGGGACAGCACCATCGAGACCCCTGTTCGTACTTGCTTAAGGCTCGCCTCCAATGCGGGCACCTCGGTGCACGGCAAACCTGCCCCAGGTGGTTCGGTGCACAGTAGCTCGGTAGACTGCAGGGATATCTGCCTAACATCCGTGCCTGCCTGATATCCATACCTGTCGGATCCAGTGGCAGTGCTCGGATCCCTTGCCAGGCGGCATTCTGCCTGCCGTCTCTAAAAGGCATGGCACGCCTGACGAGTTCGTACCCTGCAATAGAAGCTTGTAGCAGCAGCCTGCACCTGCCACCCCTGCCTTGGCAGTAACGGCTATGGCAATGACCGAGCTCCGGTATAAAAGGACCCCGACCCTCACAAAGCAAAGGTATTGAAGCTAGCACTTTCAGCACTTTTAACTCTCTGTGTTTTCTTTGAGTTTCCTCTGAGTTCTAACTTAGCCATCGGAGTGTCCCCGTCGGGAGAGCTCCCCAGGAACCCTTCACCTTTCTCTTCCTCTCAGGTGCCGTCCGTCACAGTTAGGAGCCAACTCTCAGCCAGATAGGAGTGCCCAGATTGTGCTGCATTAGGTAGTTATATTTCATCTCTTCCAATCAAAAACTTGATTAGCAATTAACCAAAAGGAGGCACTCATTTAGTGATTAAAAACTCAAGTATGCTTTCTTTATGTATGCGTCACCTAATTTGTGGAGATTGACCTACTCAAGACGTGAAGCAGTCCTTGGCAATCCAAGTGGAGTGGAAGCAACTATGGCAATCCTGCATTAGGTCACTAATGGTTAATAATGTAAGATACCACCAACAACACAAGAAACTTCCCGTTTGCTTGCAAAGGAAAAACGTCTACATCATGTCAATGGTGTCAGTGGAACTAATGGGTGGGTTCTGCATCGCCAGGTGTCTTAGCAAATTGTTCAATGAGAATAAGCGCATGAATATAACAGATTATAATGCAGTCAAATAGGCATTTTACCTAGAAATTATGTAAGTTGATGCACAACAAAACACCAAAGACTTCATAGGATCATCCCACGATGCGAGAAAAGTAAGATACTTTACTAATTCTGTAACAGGAAAGAGCAATTCCTGCAAATACAAGATTTGTAAAGGAAATTATAAGATTGTGGGGCATATTTACCACCAATATTAATATTCATGGATGTCTTTTGTGCCAGTTCATGGGTGTCTGTCTTACCAAGTATGACCAATATCAACATTCCATTTTTTATTGTTGAATATAAAATATGAAACAATCAAAAACCATAAAAAAAGATTCATAGTTCATAATTTGTTGATTCAGTTAATGAAAGCAAGAAAAAGAATAAATCAAGATGGTAAGATACTGAAGAACCCATCACATAAAGTACTATCTGCAATACCTTCATCACTGCCAAATTGGTATCAATGCCCTCTACTTTGACCCTATTAACAGTTTCTTGTGCTAGTTCCACCTTTTTAAAGCTATTTCTTGAATCTCTGACTATTCTCTCCAATGCCGTTATCTCCCCAACAACCATTTCACCCACAATAAGTCTGGTTTCTTTAGGAATAATTGAACTCGTTCCAACTGCATCTTCTAAATTAGACATCATTACCAAAGCTGATATTGAATACCTCGAACTTCCATCAGTAGAATTGTTAGTTCTGTCCAAATCCATTGAGGAAAACATCCTAGCAAGTGTTTCCAGTATTAAATCACCTCCTGGAATCTGATCACAGAGATTGAACATCAGGAGTGCTTCATTGCGAACAGATCCTGTGTGAGATAATTCTTGAACAGCTTGTAATCGCAGTATTCCAAGTACAGCCCTAGAGAGTGCTTCATCCCTTTGAACTCCTTTGAACTGGAACTTCTTGGCAAACCTATGAGCATATAATATTTCTCTGATAATGGCTAACCAGTAGTCACGACGAGTATGACCTTTCAGTTCTGGAAACTCCATTACAACTGGTTCTGGTCTAAAGAAGAAAGCCAAAACAAAGGTTAATCAGTCATAACAATGATTACAGTAGTTCATGATTTGCAAGGAAATGGCCAAAAACATATGAACAGAAAAATAAAATGTCCAGAACTTACAAAGAAATGGCTTTGTACATGACTGCCTTATCAAAAAGTCTTGTGCCCCATGGTCCTATTAACTCAGGTTTAACAACCTGTTTTAAATCACCTGATAGGTCATATGCTTTTGGCTTATTAAAGGACATAACTTTTAGAGGTTCAAAGTAAAGTGCATGATCAGTCAATGTTAATCGGCCTGCAGTTGGTAGAAGTAAGTCAGAATACAAATTAGAAATCTATAAAAAATAATGCTAATCTAAGGATAGATAACAAAGTTCAGTAACAAAATAACTGAGAAACCTACCAGGCCATGTAGCAGTTCCAACATGCTGGAGAACTGGTTGGGTTGTAACTGTGCCATCCACCTCAAGGATCTTTTCGCCTTTTGGTGATCGGAAGGCAGAAAGAAGGGATGATTCTGATTGAGTCTTAAATTTTCTTGTTGCTCTGTGAGGTAAAAAAAGATTTCAATATTTAGGGTTGTGGTGCTCCTTATCTGAAGCACATACATATGCATATCACAGTTATATACAAGCATAAAATTGAACATGCAACATGAAAATTTCAATTATGCACCTTCTACAAAAATGAAAATGGAAAAAACTTGACCAGCCGTGAAATAGTCATCTCAATATTGTAGAGCCGACAGAAATGATAAAATAACAAATAAGTTGATTGTTGACCAACAAACTAGAATGTCTTTATGGTAATAAGTTGCTTGAAGGAATGGTTGATAGGCATGGTGGACAGTTGTGATATTAAGGATATCAAAAGTAGTTCTACAAAAACAAAAGGATATCGGAAATTTTCTCATGGCTTCTCCCCACCTTGAATTCATCTACTATACAAAGATGATTCACATCCAAACAATGACAAAACCTCTGCTCCAGGAAACCATTTACAATATACCATGCCTCCAAGAATTCTATCATTCATGGTTCACTGTACCTTGAATGTCATGATTGTCACCCTAGATTTGTTAGTCTGCATATCAGTATCCCTATAACTGATTGGCTTTGTTATTCTGGAAAAATTATTATTGTTCACCACTGTTATCATTTATGTCAATATTGAATCTTCAAAAACTGCAAGTCCCAAAGTAGTCTCTAGTAAACAAAAGCTTTCTTCTAACTGCTATATCAAGGTGCTGTAAGAACAGCCACATCCCTTCTTTTAATCCAAAACCCACTCATGTTCAATCATGCAGTCAAAGCATGTCTGCAAGCATGCAGTAAAAGAGGCCAGGAACCTAGTTATTTTATTGCAAAATTATACGCATATAAGCAATAATGTAGCACTTTAGATGGTACATAACAACATACACTGAAAAATGCATAATCATTAGAAATATCTATATACTAATTAGGATTTCTAAAAGGAAAGACAACTGAAATTGTAATAGTTATCTGAAGAGTAAAATGAAATCAAGAGAGCTAACCTTTCCAATCCATTAAGGTACTTCTCATAGACAGAGAACTGAAGCCTCCCCCCAGTTGATGTTGTAAGTGCATTAAAAAGATTGTCACTAGTAATTACATCAGCAATAAGAGGAATAGATGGTGCTATTCGAGAAAAAGATTCTCCACCCACAGTTCTCTCCTCGTCCAACTGTCAAGAAAAGGCGATGGCAATGAACTTTGGCATTCATCCCATTTGATGGTTTGTTTCTTTACAAAACAAAACCAACTATTTTGGAGATCTAAAAGAGTTAAAGTAAGTAATTTGACTATTTTGAGGATCTAAAACCCAACAAAGACAACTACTAACTAGCTACTACATACAAACTATTAATAGATCATCAAAGGATCTCCTTTACACCTTCAGTTTAGAAAAAAGATACGCAAATATTGTACAGGAATAGCTCTCTTTTGATTAATTAATTCTCTTCTGTCACAGGGAAAAGGATATAAAACATCAACAAACATTTACCTTGGGAAAGGGTTCGCTGGAAGCTGCAGGTGCTTCCCATGCTAGCATCATATCATACGTTAGGCGTGGGAACTTCTTATCGGCAATATAATCGTTCACTTGCGTAGACAGAGCAAGAGCTCTGAAACAACAGTATTCCAAAAAGTTCCTTGCATACCTCGATGGATTCTTTATACTATCAGACGCCTCAACACCAAAGTTGTCACGGAGGTTATCCAAAGAAATTCCAATAATTCTACATATTTGTTTTTAGTTGTTCGTCAGGAAACTAACAACCATGATTAAATTGAGATTTACACCAGGAGAGGAATAAATAAATAAATAAGCAACTTGTCTTGGAAAACATGCACAACAAAACTCACATGAAATAAGTTTAGATCGTGTTATAAGATCATGAAGCAAAGCAAGACTAAGGAACGAAGCATAAAGGAAAAAAGAATTAACCATCGAATCTAAATCGCGTTTCAGGATTTTGAACTTAAGAAAAGAGTAAATCATTTACCACACGAATTTACAGTATCGACACACACCTTGAGCATCGGCGGAGAACTACATTTGCAATCGGAGAGAACTCCAGTATCCAGTTTCTTCTGGCAGTCGGAGGCTTTGACATATCTTCGAATTCCTCATCAAAGGAATTTCGGTTGCCGAGTAACCATTTAAATGATCCTTCTTTTACGAGACCCTCCAGCATATTTCCAGTTTTAATTTGCTTACTATGGTATTCTAACTTCCTCTTTGAAAGGTTAAGTTAAGCTCCCTGCCCTGTTTGGTCAACTGAAATCCCAATTTCACCAACAGTTTTCTTAAAATCACCGCACTTTCTCATTATAACAAGCCGAGATTACACTAATCAACCTTTCGTTCAAAACCCAGATCATAATTTCACCAAAATGCCTCTAAACCGCAAACCCTGCAACTTAGTTTATGGCCGCATAACCGTAGATTACGTACGCTTATTTTCGACAAAGTTCATCACAATTCGTGCAACTCTACCCTGGAGAGACAAAGCTCATATATACTTCTCTGAACCGATATCCACGGACCCATTTCACGAAATGGCGAAATATGAGAACTGGAGTCATCCCGTCAATGAAGAGCGGAAAATTAAGCAATATTAAAAAAAAAAAAACCGAAAACCGACGGCTCTAGCAGATGAGGTTCATGGAATTATAAGCTGTTTGAGGAGAAAATAAATAGAGAATGGATAAGGAGAGAGGAGGGGAGGATAAATGACGCCATAGAATGAGGTGTGCTAAGGAACCCCCGCCAATCCGCCATTAGAAGTTTCCTTTCGCGTTCTTCTACTCCAAGGTTCCTTGCTTAAAAGGGAAAGTCCATAAGGCTGAGGCATGATCAGAAGCAAAAGTTTTGAAAACGAGTTGGCACAAAATAAAATGATAGGAAGGAAATGTCAACTCTACAGCTGCCAAGGGCATTTTCATAAATAAACCATTACCAATGCCACCCTCCACAATTTTTTTCGTTTGAGATATACAGCTGGATTGAGGTGGGGGTGACAAGTATGTGTTTGGTTCCTTTACTTCTTTTCAATCAATGTTTGTAATTTGTAAAATCGAATAAATAATATGTAAAATCGAGAAAGATAATAATTAAAACCTTGAAAAAATTATACGCCATTAAGCACTACATCAGTATTATCTAACTGTTTGACGAAGCTTTAAAAAATAACTTTTCTAAACTGTAGGTATACATCTTTTATTATTTTTGATGCATGTAACAACATAAGAGAGAAACGGCTGAAATGATACTTATGTGACAACATTTATTAAATAAATATCTACAGTTCCAAACACCCTACAAATAATCAATAAATCCATAAATGAGTAAATGAGTAGGTTTTACTCAGAATTGAATAGAATAGTTTTGAAAATAATCATACCCAATAAGGGTTGTCCCATTCGAACCTACCAACCTTGGTTGGTTTTGGTAGAATTGGTTTTGGAAGCAATAATTCTCGTATTATCTTAAGGATATGAAGATTTGAACCTAGCGCTCTTGGTTATAAAAATTATGGTATTACTGTCACTTAAGTTTTTCAAAGTAATATTTACAGAATTTAAACTATAATAAGAAGTTTTATTATTATTAAAAATCAAGTTTTTAAAAATAAAACAAATTCTTTTAGGAGGATAAAAAAAGAACATGATTCACAAATAGACCAAAGGTTTAAAGTATCAAATTGATACTCTCAATTTAGGGGGTATCCATGGGCCCATGGCCATAAATACACCACAATTACATTTTGTATCTCATGAATCATTCATATCGGCATGATATGYCTTCATATMAAGCCATATCGTGTTGTATCAGTGGATACAGTTTGATACGTATCAATATAGAACCGCAACTACATTTTGTATCTCATGAATCATTCATATCGGCATGATATGCCTTCATATCAAGCCATATCGTGTTGTATTAGTGGATACAGTTTGATACATATCAATATAGAACCACAACTACATTTTGTATCTCATGAATCATTCATATCGGCATGATATGCCTTCATATCAAGCCATATCGTATTGTATCAGTGGATACAGTTTGATACGTATCAATACAGAAGATTAATGGTGTCTACTTTGACAAAACTGTATATTAATCATCATATCTTTCTAGATCCGTAACTTTATGTGTTGACCTTATGAGTTTTGATAATAATAAACTCACTCAAAATACTAATAGTTTGATTTAAGTGTGTAGCTGTATCAAGTGATCTTTCAAGGGGTTTCTTGGAAGAGTTTGGGTGAGCAAAAACAGGCCGGAAATTCCTCTATTACAGTTTACAGACAACTTAGGTTTTTTCTGCAATGCATTCAGGGAGTAAATTGATAACCTAATGGCCATTCTTTGGTGGTTTGAAGTGGTTTTGGGGTTACACTTGAATGCTCACAAAAGTGAACTCGTGTCAGTGGGAAAGGTTCAAGAGGTGCAATCTTGGGTTAACTCTTGGGGGTTTAAGGTAAGAAGGTTCCCTTTAAAGTATTTGGGAATGCTCTTAGGGGCTAAGTGTAATTCCAAGTCTTTTTGGGAACCCATTTTGGAAAGGATTAAGAAGAGGTTGGCCTGGATGGAAATTGAGGTACCTATCAAAGGGAGGTAAGCTCACACTTGTTAAGAATGTCATGTCCTCCCTCCCTGTTTTCTTTCTTTCCCTATATCCAATTCCAGCTGGGGTTGCAGACCAGATTGAGATGAAAATTGAGAGTTTCTGTAGAAAGGGTGAAAGGATAGTAAGAAAATTCATTTAGTTAATTGGGGAAAGGTGTGCAAACAAGAAGAAAAAAAGAATGGAGGGATGGAAATAAGAATAATTCAGGAAATGAATTTAGCCTTACTTGGCAAGTGGTTCTGAAGGTTTTGTCAGGAAAGGAATTGCTTATGGAAGAGAGTAAGCAAAATATGGTTTAAGAAATGAAAGATGGGTCCCTAGAGATGCAAATCAGTCATATGGTGGTTCGCTTTGGAAGGGAATTGGAAAAAGCTACAATTCTTTTAGCAAGGAAATCAAGTTTGTAGTGGGAAGCAGGGGTACTTAGAGTAAAATTTTGGTTGGATTGTTGGTGTGGTAACAATAAGCTGAAGGATGATTTCCTAGAATTATTTGCAATCGCCGTAGACAAGGAGGCAAAAGTGGTTGATTATGTCTAGTTTCAAAATGGGGTGCTTGTCTGGAGTCCTCTTTTCAGAAAGGCTTTGAACGACTGGGAGATTGATCCATTTGGCAGGATTCTTCCAAGGCTGTATAACACCCAAGTCGACATCAACCCAGAAAATAAAAGGGTATGGTTAGCAGATAGAAAAGGTCATTTCTCGGTGAAATCTTTCTATATATAGTAAACTGATTCAAGAAGAACGTGAATCAGTAATTAGGTGCAATGCATTGCATTCCACCAATGCATCTTTCTTTATTTTGGCTGTTTACCTAATTAAGATTCCTACAAGAGACAACTTGATTAGTAGGGGTGTGTTGATTGATTCTAAAAGGTATGTGTTATGCAACAATGCAGCAGATGAATATGTTGACCGCCTGTTACTGCATTGTGGCTTCACTCACAAAATTTGGGTAAAGATTCTCAGAATTTTTTTCTATTAGAAGTAGTTGCCCTGAATCAGTAGTTGATTTTGCAAACAACTAGAGGCTACAAGGCCTAATCAAGAAAGGGAAAATCTTAAGGCATTTGATTCTAGGTGTTGTGTTATGGTTGATATTACAAGAAAGAAACTTAAGCATATTTCAAAACAAAAGTTGTCAAGGAGATGAAGTGTGACATAAAATCGTGGGGAAGTTGTATTCTTGGTCTTGCGCTCATATAAAAGTTGACAATTCTTTCTATAGTTCTCTTTTTTATTTTGAAAGTTTATTTGTATCTCCCAATGGGATGGTGGATTGAATTTTTTTGTACCTCCTTTGTACAGTCTCTGGTTGTACTTTTATCTTTTTAATGAATTTATACTTTATTTCTTCTCAAAGAAAAAAAAAAAAAGTGATTCTTATAAGGTGATCTAAAATTGTTGATAAACTATTTTCAATAGTTCCAATGATTTGAGAAGTAGTTGTGTAAAATGATGAACTAATTACTTTCCGAGAAAGAAGATTGCTACCAAGAAGAAGAAAAGAAAGAAGAAATCAAGTTATAGCTTCTGACTTGTGTTTATTTATTTTTAGGATTCTATGTAGTCATTTACAAGAATGGATAAGATTTCTCCATACTTTATAATGAGCATAAATGAGAAAATTCCAAATGTCGAGACCTAAGGAGTCAACTCCCAAATGTTTGGAGTTTCCTACTTGAAGTTTTTAAGGAAAGACAGTCATTAATTGACTATTCGTAAGGTAGTAGTTAACTATCTCTGATAACTAAGATTTGTGTCTTTGAGTAGTCAACTACTTCTCAAAGAACAAGAAATTTTGGTCATATGAAGACTCAATGGCTCTATTCTCTTTTGGTAAACTTTCAAACTTAGGAAACAAGCTCTAAATATTTTTAATAATGGTTTAATCCATTTCCAATAGATCTATAATGATCACAAGCTCTCTAAAGTTTGATTTATATTATAAATGCACGAGTTTAAGCTGAAAAAATTGAAGTGCACTGAGTTATATTGCGAAAGAGAAAAGAGAGCAATTGCAAGAGAGACCAACCTAGTTTAAAGAGATTATAATCTACAAGGGCTTTTAACCTTGGAGAAAAAGCTTGAAAAAGTTATCAATGCTTTACTGATTCTCTCCAAAAATCTTTGATCTCTTCAAGTGTATTAAGCCCATATTTGTTTATACACATTCTTGTATTTAAATAATTTGTTTTGTATTTTCATATCAAATTAGTTAGTGGCATTCATTATCATGCTTTAATTGTTTACATCCGTTGTATTTGATCAAGTAGTGATTAATAACTTATAGTTGCTAATATTCAATGATCAAACTTTGGAAGTATTAGGATGACACTTAGGAAATCCAACTATTGTAAAGGCCTTCTTGGCACCTATGAAATCCAACTGTTATAAAGGTTTTGTTGGCACTTGAGAAGTTTATGTCAATGTTCACACGACCAATAGAGAGGGTTGAGGTACGATCCCATCATCATCATCATTATTATTATTATTTTGCCAAGTCTTATTTGTTAATGATAGAAAATTTCTTAAACTACCCTTATGGTTTAAGTAATTGACTAACTCTGTCTTTATGCTTACATATGGTCTTAAAGTACCCTTACTGTTTTTAACAATTGACATCGTTGTTAATTGTTAGCGGAAAAAATGAAATGTCAAATTTACCCTCCACTATTTCTCAAATTTTCAAAATAAAACCCAATTGATGAAAAATTCTAGGAATAGGAAGTAGATCGCTGCATTGTCTCCATCCCTGACTCCATCTCCATCTCCGTCCTTGTCGTCTCTCTCACCTGAATCGAAGTGGCATCCATTTGCGAGGTTAGACACCAATGCCTTCCCCCTCCCTCTCTCTCCATCATCATACAACAGGAAAAACGAAGAAAACCAGGAGGCCCTTAAATCCCACTTCGATCCCCAAAATTAAAATCTCCATGAAAGTTCGATCTCTCAAACTACTAGTTTTCATCTTGCCTCTTTTTACTGTGCAAAATACAGAAAGAGTGCTACTGAAAACACCGGAGCTCTTTCTGGCATATCCGCTCAGGAGCTCTTTCTCTTGCTCCCAATGAAGGATATTCGATTGACATCCTCGGCTCTTTCTTCTTGTTTCGTTTTTTCTTTTTTTTTCTGGGTAGTCTGGTTAATTTTTTATGGAAGCAAACTATTTATTGGGATAGATTCCATTCTGTTTATGGAGAAACATAAGAATACATAATTTCTTCATGTTTAATTTT